ACCCTGTCCCTGTGGGTCATGGCCACTGTGGCCCGCGCCCCTAAGCCTGAGACAGGCTCCGGGGAGCGCGATGGCCTGGCCGGCGAGGGGCGTCCGGCTGCGGCTTCTCCCTGGGGTGGGGTGTTCGCCCGCGTCGGCTGCATGGAGCCCTGTGGCCTGGGCTTGTGGGGCCGGGGGAGAAGCAGGCGGCTCCCCGGGAGGGCAGGTCGCCGGGCTGTGACACGGCTGTGACACGGCAGCCTGGCCCTGCCTCTCGCCTCGCCCTCCATGACCCCCAGCGCTCGTCCAGCTCCCACATGCTGGCGCGACGGTCTGACGGGACTGGCCGGTCTCCCCACGAGCTGTGGGGGACATGGGGCCGTGACGGGGAGGCACCGGGCCCGAGGAGACCTGGCTGCTAATGGCTTCCGGCCCGGCGGTCTCCGCTTTAGGAGCTCTCCACTGGCGTCGGGGGCCTGCGGGGCAGGACGGGGTTCGGGCCCCACGGCCCTCAGAGACTGGGGCTCCCAGGGAGCTTCCAGAGCAGGGGGCGACGTGTCCTCCAGCCTCGAGCCGCCGGGCTCAGTGGCCCGCAGTGCACGGGGTGCGGTCAGCGCTGCAGGAGTAACTGCTCTGCGGGGACAGAGCACAGACTCCCCCGCAGCGTCCCTGAGGACCAGCGGGGCAGCCTGGGCCCTGCGCAGGCGCCGGCCTGGACGCCCGGCCGTGGGGACGCCGCCGGCTGCGGACGGGACAGCGTGGGCAGCGGCTCTGAGCGGGGGCGGACAGGCACGGCAAGTGGCCGTCCTGTCTGGCTGTGACGTTGGGGCCACAAGATTGTTCAGCCTGGAGTACGAAGTGCCCACTCCAGACACGTGGGAGGGACGAGGGCCGGTTCAGGTCGTCGAGTCACTGAGGTGACCAGCCTGGTCGGAGACACACGTACGGCGGGTCCGCGAATGGCGTCCCTTTGTTCAGCATCGTTCGATGTCACCGTGATGACACGCTGCAGGCACTCAGTCCGTTTACATACCTGAGCCTGCGGCCATGGGGGTCACTACACGTCGCTCCAGGAGCCCCGAGGACCAGGACGTCCTGTGTCCTTCTGTTCCTCAAGAACTACAGGGGGTCCCCGCGGTGTGCGTTGGTGCTGAGGGCGTCTCCCTTTTAAGTACAGGGTCCCCCCTTTCTTCCAAGTGCGTGTGACGTTGGCTCGTCACGGCCCTGGGGTTCCTCTGGCGGGGCCCTCGGTGCTCGGACCGCAAAGGCGGCCGCTCGCCAGTGCCCTCGAGTGTCCACTACGGGGGCGGCCAAGCGTCCACTCCCACAGACGCCCAACGCCACTCCGTGAAGTGCCCCTGCCCCATCCAGCCTGTGCCTGAAGCGTGGAGCCACCTGAGCAGTCTCCGCATGGCGGCCTCCGTGAGCCTCCTACATTGGTCTGGGGGGTTCCGTCCCCCCTTACTTGGTCTCTAGTCAGTTCAATTCCTAGGCCAGCGGAAGAGCCCAGGAGGGTGGGGGACACGGCCGCAGGGGGCCCGAGGGGGCAGGCCGGCCGCCACGCAGAGTGGGTGGGAGCCACCACGGGCCGGCCCAGAGGCCACACTCCAAGGACTTGCCTCACTGAGTGGCAGGGGACACGCGGGGGCTTCTGTGCAGAGCGGCGCGGCTCCGACTTGTGACAAGCTCGTTCCAGCAGCTGCACTGAGAATGGACGGGAACGGCCAGGCCCACGGGGACGTCCTCGCGGACGGGGTAAGAGGCCCCAAACAGCTGTCACAGCTGCTGAGACCGGGAGTGACATGGAGACTGAAAACTGGGCCTTGGGGTAACGGCCTGGTGGCTGTCGGTGCCCTGTGGTGGGGAGTGGGCACTGGCTGGGGTGGGGGCAGCAGCAGGGACACACAATGCAGGTGCGCGCCCCTCTCTGTGGGGAGACGGGAGGACAGGACGGCCGACAGTGGCGGGTCACCCAGGGGTGCAGCAGGGGCTGGGAGAACGGATGGGGACGAGGACCCAGGAGGTGGTGACGGGCTGTGGACGGCAGCCGGGCGGTGGCGGCGGGCGGTGTGGCCAGGCCCTGGGTTCCCAGGCGTGTGGGGAGGTGGGTGGCGGGGTGCAGCCCAGACCATGCCGTTCTGGGGACCCGCCTGTGTGCTGGAGCGCGCCCTGCCGCCGCCACCATGGCAAACATCGTGAGTTATAGGGACCATCGTGACAGTCACGGGGACCATCGTGTGACAGCTACGGCGACCATCATGTCAGCTACGGTGACCATTGTGACAGTTACGGGGACCATCGTGTGACAGTTACAGTGACCATCATGTGACAGTTACGAGGACCACCGTGTGACAGTGACCATCATGTGACAGTTACGGGGACCATCGTGTGACATTTACGGGGACCATTGTGTGACGATTATGGCCAGCCACGCTGAGAATGGAGTAAACAAACTTATTTTACACGAAAATAGCAGCTGACCATCCCTTAAATCAAACGGCGCCTCAGAAAATTTTGTGCTTTGGGCTGGTGTCTACGCATCTCAATTTTCTTGTCAGGACTTGAAGTAACGCTGGCCCTGGCCGGGGGTGCGGGAGCCCGCAAACCAGGACGCGTGTGTTCCCGGGGGCCCAGCAAACACAAGAACGAGGGGTGGGGGTGGCAGGGCCCTGCTGCCCGGGGGACACAGGACACGTGGCAGAACATTCTAGTTCTCCAGGTGAGTTAGGCTGGAAATCATCTCTTACATTACTGTCTAGTTTTAAAGCCAAGACCTTGTTTTGTGGATTTACCAGGAACCCCGACTTCCGCTGTGAGCAGTGAACGCTTTTGAGGGGCAAACCTGGGCAGGGTGGGGCCACCAGGCGGCGGGGACACCGAGGTGTGGGACCAGCAGGTTCTGGGGCCAGCTTTGTGGGCGGAGGGCAGGGCTGCGACAGGCCTCAGGCTGTGATGCTCAGGTCGGGGACCCGGGTCCCGGGGACTGGCAAAGTCTGGGCTGAAAGCGGACGCTCCGTGAGGCAGCAGAACTGTATTTACTGACATCGCTCGAGGGCCCCAAGGCACAGTCTCGGCGTGTGGGGACGCGGGACCTGCAGATGGGCCGGTGAGGATGCAGCGTCACAGCAGTGCGGGCACAGGAGAGGGACACGCCCTGCCGGCACTGTGCGGGCTCCGAGAGGTCTACAGGGCATGCTCCAGGTGAGACACAGGTGTGCGGGTGTGCAGTGAGGTCGGGGGCATGCTCCAGGTGAGACAGACAGGTGTGCAGTGAGGTCAGAGGACATGCTCCAGGTGAGACACAGATAGGTGTGCTGTGCCCTCAGGAATCGGAGAGCAGCTGAGTGGGCTGTGTGAGGACACGCTGGTCGTGTAGCAGTAGCTCTCCATAGTTTATGGTCAGACTTGGGGGCGGGGACTCTGGGGGGGCGGTTGGAGGAAAGCCTAGAAACGAGACACACCCTGGTGTTGACCACTTTGCTTCGGAGTGTTTCCCAGGAGAGCCTGTTCCTTGCTCACACAGAAGTCCTGCCACCGCCACCGGGGACGTCCTGAAGGGCCACCGGCTCGTCTCAAGTCACAGGTGCGTGGCTGTGGCCACGGGCCTGAGCGCACACAGCCCGTTGGTGTGGCCGCCGGCACCACCCTGCCCCCCCTAAGAAAAAGGCGGATGCGCTGTCAGCAGAAATCACAAATTTATTAACTCTTAAATATATCAATCAGTCATTTACCATTATGGCAAGAAATATATACAGTGTCCCATGGTAAACTGCAGTGTTTCAAAGTGGGGGGAGATAACAAATGTGTAATCCAGTCGTGGGGGACAGCAAAGCACAGTGCCCTCGCGTCTCGGAGCAGGAGACGGAGCGACCCACGCTGACACCAACACCTCGTGCCACGTTAAAAGTGTAAAAAACCACTTCATACCTATTTTAAACACATGTATGCCACGTAAAGCCGTTTCACAGAAAGGGAAAAGAAATTAGAGAAAAACGAGGCCGTTACTTCACAGATGTCATTGGCAGGTTAACATGGCTCAATACGGTTATTGTGTGTATTTATTTTAAATATATATTGTTTTAAGTCGTGAATAATTATCAGAAAAGCTTCAATCCGTCTACCGTACATCCACTAGCAACGATGTCTAAGGTGATTAGCGCTCGACACAGAGGAAATGAGGGGCGGAGAGGCTTCTGGGGGGCAGGCTGCAAGGCGTGAGGCAGCACAGTGAGACGCTGCGGGGTCCACGCAGGAGGGTGCGGGGGAACGGTGTCCCCTCCTTGTTCTGCAACGGGGAACCCCACGTCCTGGCAGGAAGGTGATGCTGACCCGACAGAGCAGCTAAAAAGCACAAGCCACAACGATCGAGCTCGAAGCACACGTGAGAACGGAAAACGTGGCGGCCTCTCTGGCTTCTGGGAATTGCACGTGCACAAACCCAGGTCCCCGGGCCGTCTCTGTCCCCACACCCCGCCAGGGCAGGGACCGCTGGCCTGCAGCCCCGGTCACACGGCTGGGTCCCACGTGCAAACCGGAGCCCGAGCGGCCTCGGGGCCTCGTGCGCAGGTCGCCTCTGAGCGCAGCACCCCCCACCCCGCCCCGAAGGCCCCGGCTTTATCCACCTTCACCGTGCACGTCTCACGCTTCCCAGACACGGCCAGGTGACAGGAAAAGCACGGAACACAGGGAGGGACAGGACGAGGAGCAGAAAACAGCAGAACTGAGGACGGAACAGAGCGCGGCCCTCGGACACCGGCGCCCGGCGGCCCAGCCATCGTGCCGGGAGGGGCTCCCGGCTCACACGGCTCAGGGAGACGACGCGGCTGCGGGTGCAGCGCCCGCCGACTCCGGCCCCACCCGGGTTCTGCCCACCTCCATCACCGGACGGCAGAGCCTGCACCGAGAAGCCGCCATTTCAACCAGGTCACGCCCGGGAACCGAAGGTGGTTTTTTTTGCCCTTTTTTGTTAAGTGAGTGAAAACAGATCAACATCAAAGAGTTTTAAAGACCCGACGTGCCTCTCACAAGCCGTCCTCGGGGAGCAGGGGTGACGTCCGCTGAGTCTTGGCATAAACAGAAACTCGGGGGACGGGCCGCACCTGAAGCTTTCCGGCCTCCCGTTCGGACGACCTCGCAGCGGAAGTGTAAACAGTGCACAGAAAGGACATGGGACAGGACGCTGCGTCACAGATGCACACACGTGGGACCTTCACGCCGTCATGCACTCGGACAGCCACGAGCAGGAGGGAGGCGGGCCGGGCCACCCGGGCGCCTGGCGAACACAGGTGCGGCGGTGGCACCGCTGACTTAGCTGCAAGGAGAAGGCGAGAAATGAGCCGCACGGCGCCGGAGGCCATGGCGCTGCGCCAGGCCAGCCTCCGCCTCCGCCGCCACGCGCCACGCGCGACTCGACCGAACGGTGGGCGGACAGGCGGGCTAGGGAGCTCTGCTCACGGCCCTGAGCGCTCACACGATGTGCAACAGGCCGTGTGAAAACGGGGAGTCGGTACCGATCACCTGTCAAGTTGTCCGCACAGAGCTGAGCTGCGGAGAGATGGGGGCCCAGCGTTTGATCGCATCATAAACCTGAATCGCAGTTTAAGGATTCGTGTCCACTGGACCAATTAAGAAACGAGTGTTGCCGCTTGACTGGAATAGACTAAAAGTTTAAGCTCATCCTTAGCTTTTGTCATTTTCTTAGTTTTTGAGACATGGAACTTAGAAGGCGATTCAACAGGAAACAGCCTTGAAAGTGCGGAAGATGCGGCTTCGCATGTAGCTGGGGGTCTCGTCTCTAAACCAGCAGCAGAGCACAGTGCCCGGAGCTGGGGGCGG